CCAGCAATTAACACAAAAGATATATGGTACGCAGGAATGCTAAAAAACAATACATTCTTTCGCCCCATTTTAGTAGTGCAAAGGATAACCTAATCATCACTTTGGTGATTTTCAGTAAGCCAAACTGAATAATAACTGTGTATAACATTTCCTCTCCTCGAGCACCCCGAATGCTCATCCATTAGCTGGAATTTCCTCTGACGGGACAAATTTTTTCCTTCCGTTTTCAAATAAAAACTCTCTTGTGCTTAAGGGCTACTGTGAACACCCATTTTTACTTATAGATCTGGGTCGGTAACCAGTCGATACGCTCGCTGACCTTGATAATAGGCTTCCACAAACTTTCTTTCCCATACGAGAAGGTAGCATCAGTGATAAATTGGGTGGGTGACTCAAACAAACGCTTTTTAGCGACCAGTTCTTAGACCCGTTGCCATCATGCTTGTTGCCCTCAACCAGCTGTTCGTTTATACCTTTACAACCACCGTACACTCGCTTAAAAAATAGGTAGAATTCGTTCTACTCCTAGTCTACCGCTATCAAAAACGTTTTACCTATTCTGGTCGATTTAATGTACTTTGAGTCAAGTTAAGTCACTCTGGGTTAAGAATCCACCAAATAAATTGGTTGTGAGGTCAACAACGAAACTCGATGGCATAGCTTGGCTTGGTCTGGGCGCTATTTTGGATCATAACTCGCGGTTCATCCATCTTCCTCCCCATAATCCTTACAGAGGACTGAAGTGTAACTGTTGCCTAGAATGTCTTTCAGTGTACCATTTCACTGTTCTTACGGATACAGCTTTCACGCAAAATGTATAATTTTCTTGAGACCAGCAAACAATTCAAATAGAACATTATGAAACCATTCTTCTTCAAACTGAGGTAATACACTTTGGGCTTATAAAACTTTTGTATACAGAAATTTTGGCCATTCATTGTAGCCCACAACAATACCTTGTTACCAAACACCAGGGTTCAAATGATGCCACCCTGCTTTCCCTGATGTTCCAAATGAAACACCCAGCACTATGGAATCTTTCGTCCTCTCTCTTAAAAACCGTAGAATGTTGCCCAGAGTTTTTTGGCACTTAGGTGCGCCGAATCGCTTGGGTTACTAGTTTATCCCGCCTGGCAGAGATTCCGGTCATTTGCGAAGAATCGCTCATTTTGCAGTCATCTGTGAATATCAAAATCTGTTTTGTTTTCCGCTCAAGGGTGAGTAATATGGGAACCTAAATCTGGAGTTCATCTCAGACATCCTTTACTAGACGTAGAGCCGTTTGTACGGAAATCAAACTCGTCATCAAAAACCTCAAGAGAGAATTCAACCGGCTCAGTGCAGTTAATTGATTACGTAAGAAAATGACCCTTTTTAAAGTCATTTCAGAATGCTGATCGTAGACTAATTTGCTTGAATATCATTATGATGAAATGCTTAGTTCGTGCTTTCCCTTTGCTGAAAATTTAAAGTCCCATCAGCAGAAAACATTCCATGAAAAATCTGCAAGTTTTTAGTAGGCTTATATTTGTTTGTTTGGTAACATTACATTGAGATTAAAATCCTCCTCTCTCTTGAACAGGTTTCACGATATTTTCCCATATAACTTTGAATTTTTAAATGAAAACACCAAGTTTGTGACTCTGAAAGATGCATAACTTTCAGCTGAAAAGCCAACTTCCCATAATTTATTTCTGCTTGTCAGCGGGAAAAAAGCCAATACCAGAAATAATTAGATAAGGCTTTTCCTTCCCCACTCGCTTCGAAAACTCAGTGCAACCAAACACTGTTGACATGAAGAAATATATTTTTTAGATGCCCTACAATGATAATACCCACAAAGCACTCGGAAAACTCTAGAAACATATTTTATAAACGTGCAACAATGCAACCACTCCAAGTGCTAAATCATCCACACCAGTTTGGGTCGCCAATTTTGCATAAATTACCTCGTTCAAATGCCGACTAATCAGTTCGCAAGATTGCATTCAAATCCGGTGTAAAGTTGGCAATAAATTATTGCCCAGCAAAACAGGCTTGTGCCCCTCAGTTTTGCAAATTACGACATTCTGAGTGAGATCACGAATTCGGATCTGCTCTTCCTTAATGCAGATTTTAATTAACCGTTGTTCACGTTTTCGAGACAGTAAACTGATTGTCTTTGGTATGGAGATTAGCACATCTAGAACAGAAGCGTATATTCTGTCGACAAAACAAATTCAGGTTTTCTGTCTTCTTCTATAAATTTTATCGAGATAGATGGGAGTCTCACGTCAGTTGAAATGGACATTATCATCGAAATTCCCTGGAAAGCAACTGACAGAGTAGCTGAAAACCGCACTCGGTGAAAGAAGCCCCGCACCCAGTGAAACTTGATGAAAGGGGCTAGTTCTGGAGAGAACTTAATGGATAATTCAAAAAATTGTTTTTTTTCCAGACGAGCAGGTCCAAGAAGCAAACAAAAAAATCAAGAGCATCCTGCTGGCTCGTTTCAAGCTAGAAATAGTTTATCCTGAACCAAGTTACCTGTCCGCGGAAATCAGCAATGGCTTACTTAATTATGGTTACGCACTATGTGGGACAGTTTTAGGCTGGGATTGCTTACTTCGACTGTTACTTCATCACATACGGTTTGTAAATTGATATTACTGAACTCTGAACAAGTTTCTGGCACACAGATGTAGATAGCGGGTTAATTATTGCTGTCGATTATTGCTGTCAAACAAGCTACACGGGGATGAGTTGGTGCAAAATGGGCACAGCTGGGATTTATATCCCTACTCGAACGACAGCTGTTTTCTTGTGTTAAGGCCAAGCTGCATTCTCGATGTCACTTCGCTATGCAACCCACGGGTACACTAGCACCCGATTATACAATGACACGGACGCATACTAAACCAAAATCTAACTGATGATGCATCTGAGACCGTAAGTGGAATATATCAATTAGCACATCATCCAGCTATCATTTGCAAAGTGGTAATGTGGCACAGATCTTCCTGGAATGGAAATTCTACAACATTTCACTCGAAGTTCTACCCACGACATTTTGATGAAATCACCCCATATTTCATCCTGCGAATCCCCACACTGTGAAGTATTTACGTATCAGTTCTTCATGGTCATCTGTCTGCAAATTCGTTGGCTGTTTTCAGAGAATGGATAACTAAATCCCATTCCATTACATCCATTATTATTGGCGCTTTGTGTGGCGCGATTAGGTCATATTGTACAGTGTTTACAGACTCAAATTCGAATTAGCTTGTTATCCGTATTCAAAATCCAATAACTGCAAATAACTACGCCCAAAAGAGATTAAAGCCTGCAGAACAGCGTCCACTACTGCTGCATAACTTCCAAAAACCTAGCACAAAGTAGCCTACAATAAGTTGCTCGATTCGGTCGACACGATGTTGTAGTCTGTGTTCCCAACAAATGCGCACACCCGAGAATAAACAAAGGCCGTCCTACAGCTCATGGCCGTGGGCGTCTTGCATGTACACTGACAGAAGAAGGGGGAACATGGAGATTAAAATTATATGGTAGGTGATGAGGACTAGGGTGAAAACAATGTGCGCATTGCGCAGTGGTTAGATTCCCTACGCAAATCTTATCAAGTCACACCTACTTTTACATTCAACTGCCTAGTACCCACCACTTTACCGGTGACCCTTCACGTGGATACACTCGCACACCCACAGCCGTTTAGACCTAAGCATACCGTACTTAGACTCTCTGCATCAAGCTAGCTACTCGCTCTGACGGCCGCAGTTCATTGCTGCCCACCTTGTTTACTGGCCAATAGCATGTTTCCCTTAGGTATTGTGGGCTGTCGAGGAGTTTTAATCAACCTGAGGAATAGTGTGTTTCGTCAAGAAAATATAGTTCTGATCTTCATTCTTCTTTTTCCTCAGAATCTT